ACAGGAGAGAAAAAGGCTGGTGAGTGAGAGAAAAAATACTGAGCACCTATCAAGTACTGGAGACTACGTGCCAACACTGATATATCTTTTAAAAAAATGTTTCAATAAAAATGATTTTAAATATAATAATGTTACATGCAATAAGCATTAATATTTCAAGAAAAAAAGATTTTAAATATAATAATACTAGTGTCCCTGTGCATGGATTAGTGCACATTGAAAGGAAATTAATTAGAAGGTGGCCAGTGGGGCAGGACTGTGCGGGACAGGCAGGACATGCCCCGGAGCCGACCTCCCACAGTCCCATTATTATATTTAAAATAGTTTTTCTTAAAATATTAATGTTTATTGCAAGTAAATGGTTAATTATTTTGTATCTACAATCTGGTAATAGATTTAGTTTGTATATTGTAAAAAAAAAAAGAGAAACTAAAAAAGCAATTCCATTTACCACTGCAACAAAAAAATAAGATACCTAGGAATAAACTTAACCAAGAAGGTAAAAGACCTGTACTTGAAAAACTATAGGACACTGAAAAAAGAAATAGTGGAAGATACAAACACATGGAAATGTATACCATGTTCATGGATTGGAAGAATTAACATCATTAAAATGTCTATACTACCCAAAGCAAATTATAGATTTGATTAAGTCCCTATTAAAATACCAAACGTATACTTCTCAGAGCTAAAAAAAATACTTCAAAAGTTTATGTGGAACCATAAAGAGACCCTGAATAGCTGCAGCAATCTCAAAAAAGAAGAATGGAGTAGGAGGAATCACAACACCGGATATCAAACTATACTACAAAGCCATTGTAACCAAAGCAGCCTGGTACTGGCACAGGAACAGGCATATAAACCAATGGATCAGAACAGAGACCCCAGAAATTGACCCACACCATTACGGTCAATTAACACATTGCAAACAGATCACAAGAATTCTCGCTTCATATTACACAGTGTTTCACACAGTCTCATACTTTAAAAAGATATTAGCTTGTAAGAACATGTAATAAATAACTTCAAAATGCAATGGGTATTTAATTTCAAAGTGTGCCTTTAACATCATGTAAAACATTTTTTGTACTCATTCAATAAAAACTGAATCTGGCCACTGGGTAAAGCTAGCAATAACACTACTGGTCCGCAATGTGTTAATATTTGACAAAGGAGGCAAGAAATACAATGGAGGAGACAGTCTCTTCAACAAATGGTGCTGAGAAAACCAGATAGACACATGCAAAAAGATGAAACTAGACCACCAACTTATACCATATACAAGGATAAACTCAAAATGGATAAAAGACTTAAATGTAAGGTATCTATACATATACTAGAGGCTCAGTGCACAAAATTCGTACACGGGGGGGGGGGGGTCCCTCAGACCGGCCTGCACCCTCTCGCAGTCCAGGAGCCCTCAGGGGATGTCCGACTGACGGCTTAAGCCATCATCTCCAGCCATGAGCCCAGCTTCTGGCTGAGTGGCGCTCCCCCTGTGGGAGTGCACTGACTACCAGGGGCTGCCCCCTGGTAGTCAGTGCGTGTCATAGCAACCGGTCATTCTGCCATTCGGTCGATTTGCATATTAGCTTTTTATTATATAGGATAAGCCTAAGCAACTGTTAGGACTGACCAGAATGACCAGTTGCTATGACATGCACTGACTACCAGGGGGCAGATGCTCAATGCAGGAGCTGCCCCCTGGTGGTCAGTGCGCTCCCACAGTAGGAGTGCTGCTCAGCCAGAAACTGGGCTCACAGCTACCAAGTACAGCTGTGGCAGCAGGAGTGGCAGGTGCAGTGGGGCCAGGATGAGGAGCAGCAGCGGAGCTATGCCCGGCCCTGGCTGGGGCTCCTCTCAGGCCGCCTGCCACTTTAGCACTGCTACATCTCTCGGGGGATGTCGGACTGCTGGGTTTAGCCAGGCTGAGGGACCCCACCCATGCACAAATCCTTGCACCGGGCCTCTAGTGAAACTATAAAAATCTTAGAGGAGAGCATATGCAATAAAATCTCATACAACTCATGTAGCAATATTTTATGGATACATCTCCTAAGGCAAAGGAAATTAACGAGAAAATTAAGAAATAGGACTACATCAAAATAAAAGGCTTCTGCACGCAGACTGGTGCAGCCACAGTGGAAAACAGTGTGAAGTTTCCCCCAAAAATTAAAAATGGAATTTCCATTTGACCCAGTGATCCCAC